GCAGCTCAGTCTGCCCAGGGCCCATCTAACCTGGCCTTGAGCACCTCCAGGGATGGGGCATCCACAGCTTCTCTGGGCAGCAGTGCCAAGGCCTCACCACCAAATAAAGAATTTCTTCCTAACATTTAAATCTCCCTTCTTTGAGTTAATTCCCCCTTGTCCTCTCACTATCAGACTGTGTAAAAAAGTCAGTCCCCCTCCTGCTTATCAGCTCCTTTAAGTACAGGACGGCTGCAATGAGGTCTCTCCAGAGCCTTCTCTTCTCCAAGCTGAGCAAGCCCAGGACTTCTGCCTTGAATAAATGTTTATCTAGAATGCATGTACTTTACTATAAGCATTACTATACTAAGCATTACACTACAGATACTCTCTCTATATGTGCATCTTTATATATGTTTTATTCAGCAACATGAACAAGAATACTAAAGCAGATGAAGATGATGTTGCCTTATATATGAGGAGCTCACCATAGCTATCTGTTGTCCGTTGGGCTCCAGAATCTTCTACTACACTTGGTTTTTCTTGCCACTGTTTGTAGTAGGGAAAGGTCTTGATCAAATTCACAGCCCCTATTGTGGAAAGCCTTCCTGTGTCACAGTGAATTTAAATGAAAAGTCTGCATGAATAGCTAGCATACAGTCTCTGCAAAATGGAACAAACCAGCTGCACAATGCCAAGAATTGTCAAGGCATGTGGTTTGGAAAACACTACAATGTAAGTTTATAGCTGCAGCACAATTCATTTCCTGAGAGGAAAGATAATGCTGTAGAAGAATAGATGCTATATGGTCCCTCTCTATATGGCAGAGATTCATCTGTTAGGAAGTTTATTTCCTTGGCATTCTTCTTGATGTCAAACTGCTAAATGCAAGGCTGCAGCACAAAGAAATTTCTTAAATTACTGGGGGAATAAATTAGCACTTATAACACACTTTGAAAATTCAATTGCATTCTGTAGCAAAAAAGCAAGTCCCTAAGTGTATATAGAATCCCATTCCACAGACCATTGTTTCCTTCCTGCTGCTGAAAAATAGCTTAAATAAAATCCTATGAGTTTAATGCTGAATACGTGTGCATTTCATTGCTTTTAGAGCTTTTCTGTAACTTTTTCTTTTTTTGTTTTAGTTTCTTAATCAGGAATTTAACCCTCGCTTCAATCAAATTTGCATTCATGAGAGGCTTCACGTTATACAAAGTGCATTCATGTGCATCTGCCAGTGAGCGCTGCGTATCTGTGGAAATAAAGCATCTAAATCACATTCAAGCTTTGTTTTGCCACGCCAGGTAAATTTTGGAAACGCAGTGTATGTGATCGTTTCTCACCAAGATAAAAAGCAGTCTGAAGGCTGTTGTCAACCAACGGGAGGTAAAAATGAGAAGTTTCTTGGCGAGTGTCTGCATGGCAGTGGGGAGACAGTGGCTGCAGAGAAAGGCTTATTTTTACTTTAGTAAAGAAACAATATATCCCTGTTGCATGAGGTGTATAAGTGAAAAATATAAAACAAAAGAAATAAGTGAGAGGGTCCATACAGTAGCAAGAGACAGAAGCCTATATGTATGTATGTTCTTGTTTCCTATGGCATGTGTGTCTACATGGCTATAAACATACAAAATGCTGTGAGCTTGCTAAAAATAACATTTCTAAAACCCCTGTCCTATCCCCTCAGAGGCCAGCAGTGGGAGACCCTATTGGCAGCTATTTCTGTAGTCCATTTAGAAACGAGACACCAAGACACAGCCCTGCTTCCCTCCCCATCTCATTGCTTTCTGCTAGCCAGCTGTGAGTATGGGGATGCCCATTTTTCCCATTTGACCTTTTGTGTAGCCCAGAGAAAGTGATGTCTCCATTTCCCTGCCTACACTTTTCCCTCCTGCACGTAAACTGTATTGAGAGCGTACTGTGTAAGGCCCTGACATGTCTCCAGGCACTCTTCAAGTCAAGATAATAACTCTATCAATTCAGGGCCAAGAAAATGTCTCTTCTGACAGTTCACACACAGCTTTATGGTTTTGTCATGACCCTCCATCCAGCACTGGTGGGCAGAAGATAGATGTACAAAGCCCAGGTTTATGTGGCAGCTCTGTCCTATGGATGTAGTGGAAGCTGAGCCACAAGACAGAAACTGAGTGAACTGCTCAGGCAAGTTTTTGTCCAACAACCTTCAGTGCAAGACACGAAGGCTCTTTGTTTTGTTGTGCTTCTGAACAGTATTAGGCAGGAGCTGATTTATTTTGAGTAAAAATCTGCAATCCTTTCCATCATAGTGAGTTCATTCAGTTAAGCTCAGTGTATGCTAGCTTACGGGCAGTTCGTGCTCTGCCCATGCTCATACAACAAGCTGTAGCTCCCTAATTCTGAGAAGGCACCTTAGGGAACGTGAAGAAGCAGAATAAAATTCCTCTGGTGATCAGAAAACTGGAGCCCATCCTGATGAGGTGCCCTACTTACTCAGGTCCAGTGTCAGGAAATGAGATCTCCCACAGTCATTTTGAATCAGCCCAAAGCTGTCCGACTGCCCAGCACCCCATGGCGTGGGAAAGACCTTTCCATGTTTTGTTTTCTTTTCCTACAGCTTCCCTGGCTTTTATCAAGCAAGCACGGACCATACATTTATTTTCCTTATTGGTGTCTGCCTCCTGGGGTACTGCTGTGCTTTCACACCTTGACTTTAATAGCTATTAGTTCTCCTCTGATACAAAATCAAGTAGTGTCAACCAGAAGGTTTAGAGAACTGGGACATTGCATGGTTTGTAGGTACAGAAATCAGCAATTCCCTGCCCTTTTCCAAAAACAAGAGGTATTATTTCATCAGTATTTACTGCAGATGAATAAATGTAAGCAATCTATTCTGCAAAAGAGCCAATAAAAATGATTCCTATTTGGGCCGATCTAAAATTTTAATACATTTCAGATGTATTCAGAAACTTTGGGTTGTTGTTTTTTTTTTTTTTTTTTTTTTTTAAGAATGTATTGTATGTAGTCAATCACAAACACAAAAGGAAATTCACACTGTAAAAGATTCTTCAAAAATCTCATTTCGATAAATCACTTTCTTATAACCTATTTTTATAAATCAAATTTGATTATTTTGAAAACTGGACTGAAAAATTGGACTATTTCTGTGGAAATGAAAACGTTCTGTGACAACAATCACCATCCTCAGTAAAAACACGTAATTGTAAAAAAAAAAAAGTTCTTTTCACAAGATCATATTCATACTGAATATTTGGTGTTTTATAGCTTTCTGTGTTTCCAGCAGGTTGGAAACGGAGTTCATTGCAGGTCTGAAATCCTTGCAATTATTTATCCCATCCAGTTACAGCGTCAGAACAAGAGAACTTACCCAGCCCTGAAATTCTCTTTCCCTCTCCATTCTCCATAGCAGGAGGTGGAAATCCTGTCTCTGTATCAGTCGGTGAATGAAAGAGGCAGCAACAAAGCGCACGCATCACCTCCAGCTCTCTTCATAATGCCGTCATTCACAGTGGGTTTGACTCCTGACAATTCACGATGCAAGAGCAAATGAACCAGGTTAAACAGACTCACTGGTGCTCTTTCTGGAGTTCATAGCAGGGCTGATGGACCACAAGCAGACCTTCTGCGTGTAGTATAAACCAGTTTGTGGTAGCATTTAGACATATACAAAGTCCAGTCCTTCTCTTGGAGATCTTAAACACAAAATGGTGGGCTGTTTTTTTTCCAGGAAGAGGCACACAGTATTTCACAAAACGGTCAAAGTGAGTTGCTTTTCTTCTCTTCTAAATGTTATTAGTGATGTTGGTTTTTTTTTTCTAGAAAGCCCTAGATTGTAGAATTTGGTTGAAAGAGCTCCTCTAGATTCTCCAAGGCACTGCAAATCCATTTTCTCTGAGCCTGAGGGCAGCTGCCTATCCTTGTTCTCAGTCTGGCACCTTCTCCTCCTTCTCAGTGGCCCACTTCTGCAAATCGTTCAGGGCACTTTCTCCTCTTTGTTATCCTTGCTCACTAGGATGGTCTCAAGATGTAAGAGATACAGCGTTATGGACTCTCCTACAAGCAGCACTGTTTGCTACACCCACACCCACAACTACTACAAAGATATTGCAAAATTTATTGCAAATCTGTAGCAGGGCAGGGGATAACTCTCTAGGACTTGGGTTGGCTAAGACCTATGTGGTGTTGTCCTGGCTGTTATGAGTAGAAAAGCTTCAAAGAACTGGCAAGACACTGACTTTGCTTTCATCAAAATTGTTCCTCACGATTTCAGATTATCACAGTAATGCCTAATTTATAGCTGTGCAAATAATGATAATAACAATAGTGGCAAATTCCATCTTGCGTTTGTAGATCGAGAATCTAGCCTCAGTGATGCACATATTTACGTCAAGAGCTAAAGGCCAACATAACATAATGTTGTTGCCAACAGCATAATGTTGTTGCCAGGGGAGGTTCAGGTTGGATATTAGGAAAAATTTCTTCTCAGAAAGAGTGGAGAGGCATTGGCACAGGCTGCCCAGGGAGGTGGTGGAGTCACCATATCTGGAGGTGTTCAAGAACCATGGAGATGTGGCACTGAGGGACGTGGTCAGCAGGCATGGTGGGGATGGGTTGATGGTTGAACCAGATGGTCTTTCTGATCTTTTCCAATATTAACAGTTCTACGATTCTGTAAACACAAATGGAAAGAGAATATGGAGTGTCCTCCACCTAAAGCCAGCCTGAGATTCCCAATAGGGCCACAAATATGGGAGCAGCATCTACACGAAGACAGGATTGAGCAGTAGTGATTATGAGACTACCATTTTAAAAGATAAAAGAACTCATTTTTGGAAGAGCTGACACAGTTAAGTGTCTGCTTCATTTCTGCCTGTCTTAGCTACTAAGATCCATTTTTATCTTCTGCTTTTTCCTATGTTTTTGATGCTTCTGCCAACACAGTGATGCCTCGGTGTTTCAGGAATGCCCATACAGGAGGTTCTGGGAGCTGAAATAGGTTTGGGTATCTCAGCTCATGGCATAAGATGGGTGATATTCTTGCATTCTTCGGCGCCGGCCGGCCCCTGTTCCTCAGGCAGCCGGTGGAGGCGGGGCCCAGGCGGGCACCCCCGTTCCTCCCCCGCCGCCTGCCGAGCCCTTAACAGGTAACGGAGGAGGGGCGGCCGCCGAGGGGTCGGGCCGGGATCTGCTTCCTGGGTTTCCTTTCGCTTCAGCGGGGGCATCGCTGGGCCGGGCCGGGCCGGGCCGGGCGTGGGGCCCGCCCTGTGGCCGCGCCCTCCTCCCCGTGCCCGCTGACGCCGCGTCCCCATCCGCAGGTCCGAGCCATGGGGCCGCTGTGCGGCGGGGCGGCGGGGCGGCTGCTGCGGGCGGCCGGGGCCGGCAGGAGGCTGCTGCTGCTCAGCGCCGCACGGAGCGGCGGCAGCCCGGCGGGAGGGAGTCCGGCTGTCCGCCGCGAGGCCTTGGCCGTCAAAAAGCGAGGCTACGACATCACCAGGAACCCCCACCTCAACAAGGTAGGTGCCGCTTCACGCCGCCCTGGATACGCTGGGTGATGGCGGCGGGGTGAGGGAAAGACTGCCGCAGGGCGGTGGGCACGGCCCTGAGCTGCTGGAGTTCGAGGGGTTTTGGACACTCTATCAGGTGCAGGGGTGGATTTGGGGTGGTCCCAATCCCCATGCCCATTGGATGGGCTCAGTGATGCCTGTGGGTCCTTTCCAACTTGAGATACTCCACGCGATGTGCTGGTGGCTATTTGTAGGGATGTCACGGTGGGCTGTGGGCAGAAGGTTTGTGTAGTGGATGCCCTGACCCATCCGTATTTCCATCTGCGTCCATCCCCAACGCCCAGCCCTTGGGAAATGCTCAAGGGAGGTGGGAGGACCTCTCTCTCGCAGCCTGACAAACTGGACAGAGCTCAAGGTGAGTTGCAAGGGGTTGCCTCCTGGTTTGGTGTTGACTTTGTCCTTCGTAGCTGATCGCCCCGCTTCCATCCACCCACTGCTGCTGTGGTGGTGGTTGTAGTGCTGGAAGAGCTTGGGTTGGCCAGAGGTGCCTTCAGCATTTGTTCAGTCACCCAGTGAACGAAGGGAGAAAGGGTCAGAAGAGAGCACTTCTCCTAAAAACCCAATACCAGCATAGTATATTTCAGTATTTCAAATCTACAGATAGTTGATGGGGCTGTGACTACTGATCTGCCTCCTGTGTCATCCTCTGGGCTGTAGACTGGATTACAACTTCTATTTTGTGTAGTTGGCATCTCCAAGTGCCATTGCAGCATGCCCAGAGGACAGAGGTGCACAATGACACAGGATTTTATTGGATATGGAACTACTTTATAGGCAGTCTGTTTGAATTATTAGACAATAAATGTCTGCAAGGCTGAAGAGAAGAGGAATTGCCAACTGGCTCTTAATGTTGATGAATTATTGTTGCTTACATGGTTTGGAGAGCTTTTTCTTCAGCGTTTGCCTTGTTCTCTTCATCATACAATGGTAGTTGAGAATAACATAACTAATGTTTCTAGTGGCATTATATGTAACAGCTTGAACTGAAACATTAACACTTTGACTATTTCTCAATATAATAAAATGATAACATGTAACTATGGGGATCTATCACATTTCTTAAATTGATCTGACTTCCAAGGAAGAAAAAAATCTTTCATTTTGTGCCTTTCTAAAGCATTCATCCCATCACTGAAAGGCAGTCTTTTTCTTTAACTGGAATTTTGGTCTGTGTGGAAGAAGGAAAGAAAACTACTTCAGTTGGAGGTAAAATAAATTCTGGTGCTCTCTGTTTCTCCCACCTGGACATTTGCTGTTTATGTTATGTTCCTCTGTCAGTACAGGCCAGATAGTCATCAATATGTCATCTTCAGAGCATTCTAGTGAGAAGGGATGTGGCTGACATCTATGGTAAGAGATCCAAGCTTTTCCTTGACTGCTATGTCAAAGCTGCTTTTGTTTAGATGTTGAAGTCACTGCTGCCAGGTCCTCTCTGGTACCCTCAATACCTGTAAAAGGAAGCTGTCTTCTGAGAAGCTCATCTGTTTTCCAAACCTACCTGAGAAGGAAAAAGGAAAAACTGCTGATGGACATAAGTTTGCAGTTATTTTTTTTCTTTGCTCATTGTTTACTCTGTAGTTAATTGGATTTGTGATGTAAGGGATACAAGCACTATAGTAAGCAGAGATAGCAAATGGCTTTCTCCTGTTCTTGGATTGTTTGGCCAATCTCTGCGTTCTGGATAAGATCTTTCATGACTAGGATGCTTTGGGGAAAATTTAGAATACAAAATTGACTTTCAGTTGAGGCATGACTGGGTTCCATCCCTGGGACTTGGTTCAATTATTGGTTATGTCTCAGACTTTCTTTGCAATACTTTGCAAGAAAGTCATGTAGCTTAAATCACGTGGTAGTAGGAAGATTCTGGGAAGACAGAAGCATCTATGCTTCCTCTGTGCTGATAAACATACTGCATGTTTCTGTATAACTCCAATACTGCTCTTCCTGTGTTTTGGACTATTACAGCCCATGTGATCCAAGGGCAGGTCTTGGGAGTTCTCAGTGTTCTTCTCAGGGTGACTGTGGTCCTAAGAGGCAATAGCAGTTGTTCTCAGCTGACAAAACAGCCACAGAAATAACAGAAGGAAGATCTTGTCACAGGTTTTAATCAAGTGTCTCATAAAGTAGTTCCTTTCCTGCCTTTGAACCCTGCAAAATTGGAAATGCTAAACATTTTTTAAAACGTCAGCCACAGAGAACTGGTGGGCCCATGCTGTGGGGATCCAAGTGCATGTTGGTTCCAGAGCATTTGCTGAAAGCTTTGGCTATATCTATGTAAGAGACCTGCTGCCAGGGCAGCAGTACCCATTGTGACCTATTGGGACACAAGCCTGTCTACAGCATTGAGGAGAGTTAACTTAGCACTCAGATCCTAAGAGGAAAGATGAGACACATCTTATCCACTTTGCATTTTTTTATGCACTGTGCACTGTGGAGGCATCATAATGAATGATCGAAACAGAATTACCAGTCTGCAGCTGTAAGAATGAAACTTTCTGAAGAATTGCTGTGGGTTTCTGCAGCAGAGTTGAAATCTACTGTAGCACATCATTGAGATGCAGAAGGTTGGTTTGTCCTTCAGCTTTGCGAGGATCAGAATTATGCAAATCGAGGGTTCTTTGAACATGGTGTCAGTAATTTGCCATTGCAGCTGAGATGAGATGATACAGCCTTGCACATGGATGAAATCAACCTAAAATTAGCTGGATTAGTGAAATGACTGCAGTTAGACAAAATTAGCAACTGGTACAAGGGCAGTGCATCTGAAATGCCTGTTGGCAAGGTCAAATCAAGGCAGATTCTTCCTTCAAATATTTTCTCTAAACCCAGATAGTTATATTCTTACAACTAAAGTTTCCTGTTGGCTGGCTAGCAGTCTCAGTAGACATTTACCCACTGTGGATTTCGAGTGGCTGTGTGACTCCTGGCATTTGTCAACTTCCCATCTGCTCATGTTTTACAGTGTAAGAGTGTGAGATGGGCAGAGTTTAGAGACTGTCCTCTTTTTTCAGGAGTCTGTATTTCAGCAAAGTTTAGAGGAGACCAAACATTGATCGTTGTTTTCATTGTGGTCTTCTTGTTTGTGGCTGGGTTTCTGTTTGGTTTCTGGGTTTTATTTGCTGTGGGTTCTTAAATACACTGAAGACACACTTGGCCTAGAGAGTCCCCACACAGAAAATAATGAAAGAGGGAGGATGCAGGGGAAGATGTCCTGCTTACCTGTGCTATTTACTCACAGAATCACATGATAGTTGAGGTTGGAAGGGACCTCTGGGTCGGTCTGGCCCAACCCCAGCTCAAGCAGGGGATCTGCAGCACGTTGCTCAGGTTCAATGTGTGGCTTCAAGTGAGTAGATTCAGTTCATTGTCTCATTTCCAGATCTGTCACTGTCCATGCTTACAAAATAGAGATGACATAAAATGTTTCAAGATCTATAGATGAAATATGCTAAGAAAAGGTAAAAGCATTACTGTAATGTAATGAACTTATTTTCCAAGTACTGTCCATCCTAAATAAAATCGTAAGAGATGAACTTCTCTGCAAAGTCATTGTCCTGGACCTGACATGGCCCAAAGCTGCTGGAGTTCAAGGAGCATTTGGACAACACTCTTAATAGTTTGGATTTTGGGTTGTCCTGTGTAGGGCCAGGAGTTGGACTCAGTAATTCTTGCATGTCCTTTCCAGTTTGGGATTGTGAGATAATAGCCTGGTCATCAAATCAAGCCCAGAGTAAGTCTGTTGGTGCTCCCAGTATTGGCACCAGCATGCAAAAGTCCCTTTGCTTCCCCAGCATGGAGCCCAACCCCTCTTACTATTGCAGCACCAGGCAACCATCTGCCTTCCTGTCCCCCTACATCATCTCCTGCCAACAGTTGCTCTCTTCTTTGGGATCCTGTCAGTGCTTTGAGAGTAGAGCTAACATGGAAAAGCTTGGAAGAGCAGAAGAAGCTTAATGCTGCTGAGTGGAGTGCCTCTGCCTGTTTGTTCATGGAATCACAACCCTGCAAACATCAGTGCTTGTTTTGCCTTTGGTGCCTGTAAATGTCATGAGGGGCTTGGAAGTATCTCTCAGGCAGATTTTATACGTGCTGGGTTTATGCTTGTGGCCACCATAAGATACTAACAGGAATAAAATGTGACTTGGACCGAAGTACTTGTTTGCTGAGCAGCTTATATCATAAAAAATGTCTTTAAAATTGCCTTTAAATTGTGGAATTTTGTGAGTTTGGCAACTGCCTATGCAGCTCCTTCTGTTTTGTGGTTTCTCTAAGAGAAGCCTTAATTCTTAACACCACGTGTGTTTTGGTGTAAGGGCAGAGCCAAGGCTGCCCGTAGCTCTTGTTTCATTGGATGGACTGGGCTTTTTTTTGACACTTGGATAAGAATTACATTTAACTAATGAACTCTCCAGTCAATACTATGAAAATTGATATTGGTGCATTTCAAATAGATCCAAAGCTGAATGTTACAGCTCGTTCAGCATTCCCATTTATTACATCCAGTGAAATGCATGGCAAACCTCCAGCTGATTGCTTTGGATACTGAAGGTAAGAGTAAGTTCGTTACGTGTGGGCATGGTCCTGTAAGCATTCCTTACTCCACTGCCTCCAAGCCTTGCCTTGCATGTGTAGCAGGACACTATATGAGTTGGGTTCTAACAGAGATATATCCCAGCATCTTTGTAGTGTGGAGGATTGACCTGGAGCAAATTCAATTTGACTTGATTTTGAATAAATGGAACATAAACTGAATTCATCTTTGGCTTCTCTAATGGCCAACTCCAGAAGTACACTCATCCTGCTGTTACCAGCATTAATTCAGAGCTGAAAAGGAAAGAAGGAAAACACCAACCCAGCATTTTATCAGAATCAAGAAATGCAAACTAGTCAGCAACTTCTTTGCTTGATTTGAAGCCTGCTGGCATGAGGAGCTGCGTGCCCAGGGTCTG